TTCTTTTTTTCAATCGTCAAATCGTCGAGATGAATAAATAAACAAAATAAGAATGCGATACAACGAGTACGCTTGAGAAAAATTTTCAAAGTAAAAAATATAAATGCTATCACGGTTCGAGTTTTCACGCAATTAACTGTGACCCTATGTATGTAATTTAATGTGTATAATAACCATGAAAAGATGTCGAACGTCGGTCCTCCGCAATTTTAATCATTCGAAATTATTCGAATCAATTGATTCTTAGCGTACAATAAAACTCGTGTAAATATCATACACCCCGAGTACGTGTACATATCTTGCTTTAAAAAAAAGGAAAAAAATAAAACAAAAACTCGATATGAGAGATTATTTAGAGGCGATTGGGAAAGGAGAGTAGTTGAAAGAAGAATCGGAGATTAAAAAGGAAAGAACAAAAGTACCGCAGCGTTGATGTTACACTATGTATGAATGAAAGAAGGAAAGAGGAGGACCGACGGGTATCGTATAAAACAATGGACAGGCGATTTTAACGGAAGTATCCCTGTTTTTCCTTTCTTCCTTTAACCGAATCGAAAGAAGAAACAAAAAAGAAAGAAATCTTACTTCTGTCAATGGGATTCACAGCGTGTCGCTGAAAAAGTAGCCCGCAGGCCTAAATATGCTCTAATTAATTACAAGAGAGAAAACAGAGAAACTAAGTAATTTATCCTAGTCAAATAGCTGATCGAATTCAGTACGACATTTTCTAGGTACATTCTCGTGTTTTCTCGTTCACTGTCGTATTGAATAGCGATCGGCCAAAAGAGGGGCGCTGTGTCCGTCCGATGCATTCTCCCGACATTTCCTGCACAGTCCATGTTTCCTTCGATAAGTCTGTATATGTACTTTGATTTGCTTCGATCATACCGAAAATAAAATTCTTTCGTTCAACCAACAGAGCGAATATGAGTCTATCGTGATATAAACTCAATACTTAACCGCGATTGAACAAATTTTTCCCTTCTGTAAAGATTCTGTACCTCGATGTCGGATCGAAGAATGCAGCGGTCATCGCGGACGCAAAGGTAGTGCGAATAAAAAAAAACAAACACATAACAACTTACCATACGGCAAACTGACTACCTAATATTACCTATACGTATAAATATATAAATATAAATATAAAACATAATGATTATTTATTAAACACTATTATTCATTACTACCATTATTATTATTATCATCATTATTTTTAATATTATTATTCTTATCGTTGTTCCTGTTATTATTGTTATCGTCATCGTCTTCGTCACTATTATTGTTATTGTTATTACTATTGTAATTATTGCAGTTGTCGTCATTATTGTCACTATTATTGTTCTCTTATTATTATTATGATTATTATTAATCAATAGTTACGTATATATTATACGAACAAGAAAAATTTACTGCTTGTATATATTGAGAATATCGTAATAAAAATAATGTGCGAACGATAGTGCAATAAGTTCTATTGACCACACAATACCCCTTCGCCAAGAAAAGAATAATGTGTTTCAAACAACGGAAACTATTGCTTTCAAATTGTACTAACAAAGTTTTTTCACGTTCTCTACGCTTTACAATACGATACGCTTCGCATCTTTGAATCGTCGCAACCAATACATTGACAAATATATTCATTGACACGTAGCTTCGACGTAAATAGAAGTTTTATTTCAAATCCTATACACAGATGATACATTACGATGAGCGACAACCAAAGTTCAAGAAAATGAATTTCATTGTCAAATCAAACGGAAAGGTAACATTTTACATATGTATAAACTAATGTAATATATATTTATGTACGTATATGTATTAACAAATAAATGCACTGTAGTACAAGTCATGCTTTAAACTCTAAATGAAATGTGAATAATTCACGTTGCCAGTAAGTTGTATGACTGAAGTGTTACATTGTATCGACTAGTTAATTAATCTATTTTTAGAAAAATTATTACCAACTAATTACTTTGTATAATAAATAACACAAACTATGTTTTAAAAGCACCGGCTTCGGCAGCTTTAGTTATAAAAGTTTTTACCGCATTTTCATTTAACTTAACAAAGTGCGGTGTGCGTACTACCGCAGTCATGTGATTCAATGCGAATTTAAAACAAGATTCTTCTAATTCCTAAAATTCGATTACAATTAATGGCATTCACTTTATAAAAATTATAATATCTGAAACGCCATTTACCTCAATATTATTCTCAGTAGCTACACCGTACAAGAAGATCACGTCATTAACGGTAATCCCATTCTTTATCATTTGCATGCAGCGTTTCTTCAGTAGACTTTCGGAATAAGTGCTTGCTAGTTCTAAAAGTTCTTATCCGACAAAAAGCCGACATAACTGCCAAAATATATTACCAAACGCCATGAAAGGTATAATTAAATATTTACCCAGCAAATTTTCTGAATGTAGATTGATCTCGTCCGTATATAAATATTCCAGAAATGCTTTGTATGCGTCGTAAGAAAAATGATACTCATTTATAACGCTAAAATCAATAGTTAAACATTTTAAAAAATGTAGACATTAAGACATCACACCTACTTACATCTGATTATCTTCGGCTAAGACTTTTTCAAACATCGTTCTAAAGTATTGACAACGTATCTTTAAAATAGCCTTGTGAACGTAAATAGATTTTCCTTGCACTTCCACAACAGTATCACTCGTTGTCTACAAAATACAAAAAGAATGATTGTGAAAAGACTGCGACAGTAGTAAAAATTCATATTCCTTTGTAGGACAACAATACACACTGCATCGTTAAATGCTTCTCTAACAGAATCCACTAAACTTGTAATCCCTTCTTCATCATGAAGAATAAGTGGTTTGTGCATAATTCTAGGTGTTGCGTAACACGCAAAAACATCGTGTAAATATGCTAGACGAGTAACTGTCGGAACTGTAACAATTTGTCCTAGGCACAAGCCCCACATAAATATTTGAAAGGATTTGCCCACAGCAACGCTTATGTGATTATAATGTGAAGTTGCTACATCCACTACTCTTCCCATTTCTGGCACTTCCAGCTAGAATAACGTTCATTATTTTACATTTATTAATGTAGCCATGCCTTAGTGTAGATTCTACCTTTACTGGACTAGAGGCATTCATTTTATGACCAAGACCCAACTGTCCGAAATTGTTTTCACCCCATACGTACAAAACTCCTTCCTTAGACAAAGCCAAAGTATGTGCATAACCGCAAACAACTTTTTCTGCCAACATAACATAGACATTATTAGTATTCAAGAAAGTTTTTATTCATATATATGGATCAAAAATAATACTACCAATCATAATACCAACAAGTGCTTCAATTTGACAAGGATACGTTTGATCATGTGTGTTTCCAATTCCTAATTGGCCACCTGTGTTACAACCCCAACCATAAATCTTCCCATTATCTGAGACTGCCATACTCAATGATGGACCACAACTAATAGAAATGACTTTTGTACTAGCAGATGGGAAAAGCACATTCAAAGGTCCATTCTGATTTGTACAAATGCTGCTACCTGCTTGCCCACAATTATTTGCACCCCACGCATATACCTAAATCCATAAGAGTTATTATTCATTTCAGTTGCTACAAACAACTATACTTTGCAGTCAAAGTTTTCATTTTACCTCTCCATCATCTGTTAGTGCAAGAGAATGATGATTTCCACATGCTATTTGCACAACAACTTTATCACGTAAATTTAATCCTACAAGAATTGGATTCAAACCTTTGTTGCCAGTTCCATTTCCTAATTGATGATAATCATTATTCCCCCATGAATATACCTTTCATACAAAAGATTTTACTAATTAATACATAATGGTTGATTCGATTAATGAATATTAATATCAAGTACCTTACCTCTCCTCTCTCTGTAAGGGCCAAAACATGTGGTCCTATGCCATGTGCAAATGTTTTTATATCCTTTTTACATAGCGCATCTATTTTCTTTGGATAAAGAGTACTATGAGTGTCACCAGTTCCAAGACATCCAGAAGCATTTTTTCCGAGGCCATATACCATTCCATCCTTTGTTACAATTAAAGCTTCATTACCTAAATCACCTGTTTAATAAAAGCATAATTTATTATAACTTAATATGTGTCAATTGTTTTAGTAATAGGGTTCAAGCAAGTGACAAGAATAAAAATAGAAATTAAAAAAATTAATATTACCATATACAATAACCATATGAACCCTCGAAATAAACTTTGGTTTTAACAAATTAAAAATTGGCCAATTCTTCAAATCCCAATGAAACATCTTTATGTTTTTTCGAAGTTTGTAATAAACGAATAAACTAATTTTAATAATAATGTGATTCTAATTTCAACTTCGTCTATATAGTCGTTCAATATGTATGCCCACACAATTTTATCACCTTTTGTCATAAATTAAGTGCTGTGTATCATTCTTTAAATACTGCAGTTAAAATGATTTTAAAATATAAGATTACGAATAAAGTGCAAAGATTTTTTTTCATCAGTATATGCACTCTCATATTTATATGTCAATAATTTGTACCATTTTTACTAAATAAATTAATAAAACAAGTCGTCATCAAACTGACATCAAAAACTTATCAAAGATATATCTGTCACGTAACGCTGACACTTAATCATAAAATAAAATGAAATTATTATACAATGAAAGTTATTATTAGCTTATTGCAAATAAACTTAGTTTAGAGAATTGGATTCTGTTATGCACGTATAAATATTAGGTTGTAACATATATTCGTCCCGTTTTCTTTACTTGACAACGTAACATCGCTTTTTTAACCTGTTTCCTACTTCATGCAGGCAAGTGTCATGTGTCATTAGAGAGGTTAGATTGTACTGTTAATTTTAGCAAAAAAGTTTTGTAATCGGTGAGTCCTCATGCTTTTTGTAGAGTTTTAAATATGTCTGAGAATAAAGAACATTTTCGGCACATAATGCTCTTTTACTTCCGAAAAGGCAAAAATGCGTCTGAATCGTGTAAAAAAATTTGTACAGTATATGGAGTCAATGCCGTGGATGATTCCACATGCCGGAAGAGATTTCGAAAATTTAAGGAAGGATATTTTGATCTTAAAGATGCACCTCGTACCAGGCGGTCTGTCACCACTGATGTCGATAAAAATCTTATAGCTTGTATTTTCAATCAATCGAGTTCCCTGACGCATGAAAACTGAATTTTAATGATATTCCCATCAAACTTGATTTATTGAGCAGCAAAATTATAAAGAATTCATAGGCAAAAATAGAAAACACTCAAAAAACTTTATTATTCAAAATGTTATATACAGAAATAAAAATTCTTGACATGATAAAACGTTCGGGAAAATCAATGTTACGCAATTATTGTAGGAAATATTTCACACGTATATATATTAATGTAATATACATTTATGCAAAAACCATGCATACAAATCAATAAATGCTCTATGAAAGGAAGGACACAATTAATAAGTATGAATAATACTCCTTATTTTAATGATGGACTATCAATTTCTACGATTCGGCTGTAACTTTTTAATAAACATATAGTGACTTATCATGATTATTTTAATATCATATAAATCGGACGCATTAAACAGTTTTTAATTTTTTTCCATCGCTAAAAAATCACCATAATAAATTAACAACAAATACAACATTTTTTACTGCTATTCAAGTATATTTTAACTGTTTTGAAATTGCAAACTATTCTGTCATAAAAATATTCTCTCAATGTTACAATTGGATTTTCATAGAATTGGTATACTATTGAAACGATCCATATAACTTCTCTAGGAAATATAGATATTTGAAATTAAAATCTGTTTTATTTTGTAATTTAAAAACATAATTTATTTATGTCAGGTCTTAAAAGCACCCGCTCGAGCAGCTTGAATTATAAACATTTTTGCTGTACTTCCATCTAGTTTAGCAAAATTCGGCGACTGTATTACCTCAGTCATGTGATTCAGTGCGAATATCAAACAGTGTTCTTCTAAGTCCTACAATATATAATATATCAAACATTTTAACAATCTTTGATATAAATAATAGCAAAAGTATTATTTACCTTAGAATCGTATTTAATAGATATGTCGTATAAAAACGCTACATCTGTAACTGTAATCCTCTCTTTCATTAATTGAAAACAATGCCTTTTGAATTGATTTTCCATATATTCATTAGCTAAGTCTAAAAGTTCTATTGAAAAAAGAACATTATTAATAAAATCCATTTCTCAACACTGTAAAAAGTAAAAGTATTTACCTGAAACATTATTCAGTAGATCAATTTCATTGGTGTACAAATACTTTAAAAAAGTCTTATATGTATCATAGGAATATTGTTCGTGTTTTATGACACTATAATGAATAATTACATCAGTGAAAACATATATATATATATTCGCACTAATGAAATTGCGTGCGCGTGGACATACGTAGACACGCACATTTTTCTCTCTCATATATGATTGATTTACCTTTGACTATTTTCTACCCAATGCTCTTCAAACATCATCCTGAAGTAATGAGAGCGCATTTTTAAAAGTGCTTTGTGTACATGAATCTGCTTCCCTTGTACTTCAATAATAAGATCACTAGTGATCTTCAACATACAACAAGAATGGCCTCAAAAGTTGATAAAACCGACAAGGGTGTTATTCGTAAAGAATACATACTGGATCGTCGAAAGCTTCTCTCAAACTATTCGTTAAATTTATTTCATCGTCATCGTGAAGAATAAGCGGCTGGTGCATAACACTTGGACATCCATAACATGCAAAAGCATCATGCAGACATCTTAGTGGCGTAAGTGTTGGAACTTTAATACGCTGGCCTAGACATTGACCCCATATGTATACTTGATTGCCTATACCCATTGCTACACTTATGTGATTACAATTCGATGCCGCTATGTCTAGTACTCTTCCCATTTCTGGTACTTCTAACTGAAAATATGCATTATACATCCAACATTATTCATCAGTTTTGATTCAATAATACAATCGTAGAATAGTTTTACTTTTTTTGGACTAAAGACATTTTCTAAGAATGTTATACATCCTAGTTGCCCATAATAATTAGATCCCCAAACATAAAGAACACCCTCGTCACTTAACGCCAGAACATGCATGTAACCACATGCTACTTTCTCTGTGAATTTAAATTAACGCAATTAGTAGTTAATAACATTTCTGCTTTCGTTTTCTTTTTTATAGAAAGATTTATAACTACCTATTAGTACTCCAGTAAGGTTTTTAACTTTACATGGATGTGATTGATCATTGCAATTTTCAATTCCTAATACACCTACTTTATTATCACCCCAACTATAAACCTTTCCATTATCTGTGACTGCCAGACTAAATGCATGTCCACAACTAATGGAAACTACTTTCGTACCATTTAATGTAAGCTCTACTTTCTTGGGAATACTTGTAATTTTACCAATCCTATAACATTCTGCTCCAAATACATATACCTTAAATACATGTATTATTCATCAGTAATATTAAAAACAGACAAATTGCCTTTAATTAAACATTTTTAGTTTACCTGTCCATCATCTGTCAGTGCAAGAGAATAATAACTTGCACATGCTATTTGCACAATTTTTCTTTTTTCGTAGAAGTTTATCCGAGTTGGAATTCCTTCAGGATTATGATATCCCCATGAATATACCTTTTATACAAAAGATTTTATTATTTAATGCATAATGGTTAATTCGATTAATATCAAGTACCTCTCCGCTTTCTGTAAGGGCCAAAACATGTGGCCCTTTGCCATGTGCAAATGTTTTTATATCCTTTTTACATAGCGTATCTATTTTCTTTGGATAAAGAGTACTATGAGTGTCACCAATTCCAAGACACCCAGAAGCATTTTTTCCGAGGCCATACACCATTCCATCCTTTGTTACAATTAAAGCTTCATCTCCTAAATCACCTGTTTAATAAAGTTAACATTTTGACGTATTATTTATAACTTAATATGCACTGGGTCTTCTACAAATATATAAAAATTTTGAATATATGTAACAATATTTAAAAGAAAAACAACGAAGTAAGGTATGAATGTAAAAATCAAAAAGTATGTATTACCATATACAAGAGTCATATAGATCTTCGAAATAAATTTCAAATCCAATAAACTGAAAATTGGCCAATATCTCAAAACACAGGGAAACATGTTTGTATTTCAATTTAGATTCATAATAATGTAGAAAAATAAATGTAATGTGGTTACATTACATAAAACTGCTCAAGAAAGTTCGCATTTCACTTTTTTCGGTACTTATGAACTTCACTGAGTCTCATCGATCCTTGCCGAATCCCTAGAACAAACACATATGCACAGCGGCATGTAATATATAAAAAGTATTAAAAACTTTTGTATTACACCTGTCCCCCGATTTACACTGATGATCGGTTCCTCAGAATACTGTGTAAATCGAAATCATGGCCTTTTGTATGAAAAACCGTGTAAATCGGGGAAAAAACAAAATGCGCATAATTTAATCAGTGATTTAATTAAATTCATTATTTTAAATGTAAAATAAAGATAAAATAAAAATGAAAAACCAAAAATATTCAGGGTCAGGGTTTAGTTTTGAGCGAGCGATCGATGAAGGCGAAAATAGCCGGTCGCCAATGAAAGATCCGCGGCGGCAGCAAACTTTACGTTACAATATGAATGCTTTTCGTGTGCAAAAAAGAGGGAAATTCCGTTCATTTTTTGGTTTAATGCCAGTGTTAACAAACGAACGGTACTAAAAAATGACTGTACAAATATGTGCGCAGCATAAACTTTTATTTTTAACAGTTTATATTTCTGAAAAGCCGTTATTTTGAAAACCGTGTAAAAGTGAAATCGTGTAAATAAAGTACCGTGTAAATCGGGGGATAGGTGTACATGAATGTATATACTTGTAAAAAGAATAAATATAACTGATATTACTATAAGCAATCTCATCTTGTTAGATAAATTTGTTTTATACATGGATAAACATTATTTATTCGTGTCACGCTAACTGAAATAGCGACCTAAAAAAGTCGTGGTTTGGCAACCGTTTTATGTACATAAACGGTGATTTTCAAAGTTGCAATGAAATCATACATTTTTAGAGCAAGAGGTAAAAGGAGGTTTCAACGTCAGAATTCGAACCTGTAATTTTCAAATCCGTAGCGTCAAGGCCAGCCGCTTTAACCAAAACATAATAGAGAAATGAGTATGTCAAGAAGGAATAGGGGTAGACAAGGATAGCACTAAAGAAACGAGTTAAACAAGAAAAGGACTAGAGGTGGGCAAGGATAGCAATAGTGGTGCGTGTTAGACCAGGAAAGCAATAAGTTTAGACAAGAATTGAAAATTTCAAAATGGCAATGTCTATTTTCTACCGCCAAAAGAAAAAACGAGTACATTTCCGTTAGATAAGCTCCACTGGAAATTATTAGATATATGTATATAAAGAAAATCACCCAGCGCCACCTTTTCTAGTTTTTGCACAGACGAGATATAGGCACAAACAACGTACAGGATAGACCTTGTATCTTATGGGACTTTTTGTTTGTGGCTTTGGGGCCGAGAAGACCCTTACCACTTTCGTGTCGCTACCAACGTTACCGATTAGTATAGAATAAGATTACAACATTAGTAGTGGTTAGAATTGGAATTAAACGTAACTATGAAATTACAAATAAAAAAGTAACGAAATTGTTTATTAGTAGTAGATTCGTCACACGCGCGTATTTTACTGCTATCAAAAGATCGTGAACAGTTCTACCCAAGCAATCCAATATATGTATGTATATTTATATGCAAATTTGATATAAGAGGATTTTCTACATGTGTTGATTTTACCATCTTTGATGGTTGAATTGTATGTAATTCCTAAACTCACCGCTTTATATCCTAGAGGGCACAACAAAAACTGATTTTTTACACGATCGGTATTTCAGAACGTTGGATACAGAAATACAGTAGGTGTAAGGTCTATCCTGTACGTCGTCTGTGGTCTTATAGTCCAGCTAATAGAATATGTTACATTCAAATAAAACGACTCCCTATTAAACATGGAACAGTTGAGAAATGGTTATCATTAAGGTTGTGTTATTTTGGGTTAATATTTTGAGGAATATTATTCATTTTTATCAATAATATTGTATTTTTCATTAAATAACATAAGAAACTTTAAGTTTAAAAAATAAAGAAAAGTTTATTATATTTGGAAGTTTTTACCGTGTTCAAGAACGTATTGTGTGTATAAAATTAATTTCTAATAATCAGTGTTTATATTGTCATTAACATTAACAGTAGAAGTTCTACCAAAAATACAATGACATAAATATGATCTACATCCATTTATTCAAGATCCATCACTAAAAATCAATAGATCTGTTATCAAACAAAGTCTAAACATAAATTTTTTAGCAGAAACCTTTAATGCATCTCATATGGAATATGATGATCAAGACACTCTGAAAATGAATGAAAGCGAGTCCATTTATGGGACCACATTGTCCCAAGAATCAATAAAAGTGATTGCAGAAAGTATAGGTGTTGGAAATTTTCCAGATGAAGCTGCTAAAGATCTTGCAGAAGATGTAAGCTATAGGCTCAAAGAAATTATACAGGTCTGTACCAGGATATAAATTATAAACAATTTCTTATATCTAAACTTCTACTTGATATAACAGATTTTTTTATGTTTAGGATGCTGCTAAATTTATGAGACATGGCAAACGTCAACGTATGACAACACATGATATTGATCATGCTTTAAAAATAAAAAATATCGAGCCTACATATGGTTTTTTTGCCAAAGATCATGTACCATTTCGTTTTGCTTCTGGTGGGGGGCGTGAATTACATTTTGTAGAGGAAAAAGAAATTGATCTTAATGAAGTTATATCAGTGTCTAGTGGACAAACATGGCCTAAATTACCTTTAGAAATTACAATACGTGCTCATTGGCTCTGTATAGATGGTGTTCAACCAACAATACCGGAAAATCCACCTCCGGTCTCTAAAGGTAATAATTTAATCCATAATGCAGAGATTTGTTCTCCTTTTTACAAATGTTTATTAATTAAAATAATACAACAGATGTTCAGAAGTTAGAAAGTGTTGATCCAACGAGTAAACTTACAAACAAGAGTCAGAATATTGGTGTTGGGAAACCAGGTGGTGGTGGCAAGAGTCAGAAATTACGTAATGTAGAAACTGTTCATGTCAAACAATTGGCAACTCATGAGTTGAGCGTTGAACAACAGTTATACTACAAAGAAATTACAGAAGCCTGTGTTGGATCAGATGAAGCACGCAGAGCAGAAGCATTGCAATCTCTTTCAGCTGATCCTGGTTTACATGAGATGTTAGCACGTATGTGTACCTTTATTGCAGAAGGTGTTCGTGTTAATGTAGTACAAAATCACCTTGCACTTCTCATTTATCTGATGCGTATGGTGAAGGCTCTTTTGGACAATCCCAGCCTTTACTTGGAAAAATATGTATGTACTAATATATAAACATGTTTGTATTAACCGACATGTAATAATATTGTATTTAAATTTTTATAGTTGCATGAATTGATACCATCTATCGCAACGTGTATAGTTTCGCGCCAACTATGTATGAGACCAGAAGTAGACAACCACTGGGCTCTTCGTGATTTTGCATCGCGTCTTATGGCTCAAATTTGCAAAAATTTTAACACTTCCACAAATAATGTACAAACCAGAGTAACTAGAATGTTTAGTCAAGCCTTGGCTAAAAATAGTCAGGTATAATTGTGGAACTACAGAAAGTTAAAAATCAACAGCACGAAAATAATAATAACGAACATTCTAGACTCCATTGGCGTCACTATATGGTGCAATTGAAGGGCTATGTGAATTAGGTCCAGAAGTAATTAAAGCGTTAGTTATTCCTAAAATTAAATCGATTTCCGAACGTATCGAATCGTGTATCGAAGGACCAGGTTTGTCGAGCGTGGATAAAAATGGAGCAGGACACATAAAGACTCTACTTGTGGTAAAAATCGCATTTTATTATCATAAATTCTTTTTACATTACTGTATAAAAACTAATAGGAAACTATAATGTAATTTACAGAAATCGGTGGCGCCTGTTTTAAAGACGATACGATCTCCACCAGATTATGTGGAAGATTACAAACAAGATTATGGTTATATAGGTCCTGCATTATGTGCAGCTGTTGCAAAGGCTCGGACACAGCCAGCTACTTTAGCAACAACTGCATCTACAACAACAGCTTTAACAACGAGCCAACAGGGTCCCACATGCGCTGGAAAAACTATTGTACAAGCTGGTAATATTATTTTTACTGATGTGAAATTATATGATTACTTCAGTCATGTTTTTTTTGCTTATTTTTTTTTTTTTTTTTTCTTTTTCAATCAAGTGACGAGCTCTAGTCCTGGGCAACAAACTGGGCGTACAATTATGCTTGGTACAAGTAGAACTGCTGGTGGAACTACCACGAGTGGAGGACAGAAATTCGTTATTTTACAATCTCGATCTCAAACACCAACTGCTACAAATATTAATACTAATGCGATACAACAACAACAACCTCAACAACAGCAACAATCACAACAGCAACAAGTTAAAATAGCTCAAACCAATGTTACTCAACAAAAAACGCACATACAAAGTAATGCACCAAAATTGGTGGTTGTTTGTATGGCTAGTAGTAACCACGGGACCACTACAGTAACACAGGTATGTATATTGAAGTGTAGATATAAATCGTGAAATAATACAATTATTTCAGTTATTAATTATATAAATAATTTTATAATAGGGAAATATAACAAAGGCACAGAACGTGTTTGTTACCCAGCAGAACGTTGAGTGTTCATTGAGTCCAGAAGAAGAGCATTCTTTCCAGTGATAATGGGAAAATTAATTTTAAATATTCAAACAAATTCCTTGTAATTTGTACAGAAATAACTTTTTAATGTTAATATACTTTAAAAAAGGAGAATAAAGATTTTTTATAAACATCAAAATATATGTATATATATTCTGTTATTTATTAATTTATTTTTACCAAAAATGCAGAAGGTATGAAAAATTAAAAAATGTTAAATTTTAAATATAAACATTTTGTTTGTGAAATTTCACCATTGCCGTTCACCAACTAAATTACACAGGCTAAACTTAAAACAATATTTAATTATTTGTACATAAATACATAAAATATAATGTTATTTAATAATACATATACAATATTATATTTCGTAAATATTTGTAATTTAATGTAGACTAGAAGCAATGATCAACAATGTTACCAAAATTCTATGTACATAATTGCGACCTACACTAATGAATGGAAGGAGAACTCTTCCCCTCTTGATATTCCCCTGAAGTGGAACGATTTATTTGAGTTAACCGTACATGTGAACAAATCGCATTTCGAAGTTACTTAGTTCTAATATTTGTATCGTGATCATATTGTTTGTAATACGAATATTTTATATATTTACTTACTGCTAATTACTACAAAGAACAAAGTGATAAAAATTAATTTGTAAGGAAAAATATTTACTTCAGACGTACGACGCAATAGATGATCGATGTATGAAACTAGACGCACGGAAAAAATAAAAGTACGCCATATTTGTTTTTAAAAGAATTTGCTTTATGCCTAATTTACGACAGAAAGCAAAAATGTTGGTTAGGAAACAAATTAGAATACGTACATTAATATGAATTTTAAAAGTTAATAATTAAAGTTGTTAATTAATTAGTTATTGAACGAAAAATATAGAAATATTGCAAATGGAGCAGTTTGACATACCTTCAAGATTTTACGTGTATACACATAAGTGAAAAGATATATTGTGATTGATTATTTATACATACAATATAGATGTTTTTATTCATCGTTTATTATGCAAATAAAATTCTGTTATAAAATGGCGAAGAACGATGGCTTAATGACTTACTATGCAAACACCACTGAAGAAAATGAAAGAATGTTACATGAATCATATAGGAAAAGTCAAGTAAGTATTACGTGAAAAAACTGATATATGAATAATGTTATTAATTTTCAAAGAATTTTTAGGTAGAAATTAAAAGCAAGGAGAATTTTGAACAGTTGTTTATTAAACTCAATTACATTTGTCAAGTAACATCAACCAAAGAGGAAACACAGTTAAATTCTTCTTGGTGTAATAAAAATGTAAGATATAAATTACATTGTATTTACAATGTATTTATTTTATACAAAATAGTCTTATAATATTTTATACTAGGTTATAAATTATATATATGGGCCCATTTCTGGATTTCCATCTGGTTCATGGTGGGGTATTCGTATGGATTGTTCTAGGGATCGTGTTCATGATCCATTTGACAAAAATATTCAAAATGGACCATTTGGAGTTACTTCAATCTGTACCTCAAGTGTTAACCTAAACGAAGATGTAGATCTTGGTGATTTTCTTACTCTCACAGGACAAAAATATCTTGATGGAAAATTAGACAAAGATCCACTTATTAATAATTATGAAAATCAAATACCAGTAAGATTAATAAGAAGTTATAATTTACTGAATCAATTTGCACCTAAAACAGGTTATAGATATGATGGTTTGTACATTGTAACAAATTTTTGGATAGGTATTAATTCAGATTCTGTAAAAAATTATAAATTTGCCCTATTACGTTTAAGTGATCAAGATCCACCATCATGGAATATTAAACAGTCTCCTTTAAGTATAAGTACTCCTATTTCTAATTTACATTCTGCATCTACACCTTCTCGAAATTGTTTAAAGAATTCTGTTCAAAATTTATATGAATTTAGAAAGTACTCTCATAGTTCTGAACCTATAGGTCAAAAAAGAAAACATGAAAAATCAAATGGATTCTCACCATTTCCAAATTTTGAAAATAAAAAAGTAGATGAAAGAGAAAAAGGTACACCTGAAAGTGCAATAGTGACACGTCATGTGTTTAAAAAAGTAAATATAAATACAGAATGTACATTAAACACACCTAACATATCTGTTATGTCAGAAAATAAATCATTAACTCATATTGGAAACCAAGGATCTAAAACTCATAATACAAATATTTCCATACGTACGGGGTTATATAATTCGTCGCATAATACGCAACATGACAATAAAAAAAGTACTTCATCACCATTTAGTAGGACAGCTAAATCACTTAATGTTCTTAAAATTAATCAACATGTGGAAAATTGGAATTTGCCCAATAAAGATAAAACTAAGAATCTAGAAGGAAAAGCTCAAATAATCACATCGAGTGAATTTCCTAAACGTATTAATTATATTTCATTTAATATGCTAAAACCAGAATCAGTAAAATTAAAATTTGCTAAAGATACCAATGCAGAAGTAAACAGTAGTACAAATGGTACAAGTTCAAATTCTTGTTACAAACATGAATGTAATATTACACATAGAGAAGTAACAAATGATTCATTTGATACATCAACTAACACTTTAAATTTGACAAATTGTATGTATAAAAATGAAACATCGATTCACACAGCGGTATCCAAAGAAATAAAGGAATTGAAATCGCTTGATTCCTTAGATTCATTGACACCAGATAAAATCCTACATTTGATTAACAACAAGGATCATCCTTTATCAAAATTATTAATGGGTAATATGATAGGACTAACGTCAGAACAATCTATAGCATTAAATACAGAGGATTCAATAATAACCCAGTCAGAAGTCAAAGATAAAATAATTATACAAAACAATAGCAAAGACGACATAAAAGCAAAAACAAATTTCGAAGCTATTTCAGATGATTTAATTGGATCAAGATGTTATAAATTCAGGAGACGTAGAAAATTATCCAGGAAAATAATGAATAAATCAGAAATGATAAGATATAATAAAATACACAATGAAAAATTGAAGAAAGGGTCTGCACAGCCTTCAGGTATTGTAGGACAACATTTATTGTCTCTCAACAAATGTAATGATTCTCAAAAGAATACACAGAAGATAGATATTTGCAAAGACCTAGAAAATAAAACAGTAAAACAGAATCATGTACAAACAAAGAGTATTAAAAAGAATGTTGTAAATAAAAGTGAAACAAGGATGCATTTACGAGCTATGAGAACAATTAATTCCTCAATAAAGAAACATATAAATAAAAAGCAAAGAAGAGAAATTACAAATTTATTAATAGATGCGAAAATTGGTCCAAAAATACGTGGACCGCGATATAGAAGATTGCGATGTATTAATAATACGTACGCAAAACAATCGTACGAACGTTTTGATAGTGCAATGTGCATGTTAAACAAGTGCAAAATTAACTCAGAAAGATCTGGTTTTAAGAATAGAAATAAACTTGCAAAAATTACTAGCTGTAAACGTGTTAAAAGTAAAGAAACTGCAAATGTTAAAAGATCAGAAACATTAAATATAAAACAGAATAAAATTAACAGAAATCTCACTGTTTCTAAAATGATAGATAAGCATCATATAGCAAGAAAATTTGTTAACAATAATAATGACAAAGCAGAAAACAATAATAGTAACTATAATAATATCAATAGTGAAAATGACAATAAAAAGAAATCAAAATTTATAGAGAGTAGTATTAATATTGTCGACAATAAAGATGCAATGAATATTAAAAATCGAAAGAGGAAACTGATACAAACAGTTTACACAGATCCAAAATATAGCAAAATTGAGGAAAAATTGCAGAAGAGCTGTGGAAAAGAAATTTCAAACCCCTGTAAAACAGATGCCGTTACTCAGTGTTCTCTCATTAAAGAACCATTAAAAAAAAATTCAAAATCAAATGAAATTGTCAGTAACGAACATTACACTTTCATTAAAATAGAATATGGTGATTTTAAAGACATGAAATCCGAAGCATGTGAAACTATGAAGCCGAATGACGAAAATAAAAAGCACTCAACGTCTCGATCTAATGGAAAATATATATCTTGTACAGAAACTGCATATAATATACAGCATACTAAAGATGCAACTGTATCAATAAATAGTAGTATTTTGAATACAAAACAACAAAATAAATTATCACCAGAAAGAATGTCTGCATTTGTTCCTGTTAACATTCTGGATAATGATGTAAAAATTGCTCGCCTAAGGTCAATAGGATTTAAACCAATTAATTTTAGTAATAACGATGAAGACATCAACAATCATAACAAAGGAAATGAAGTAATAAAACAAAATGTTGCTGAAAAATATAATAAATACACAAATGAAGAAAATGATATTGTTGTATATATGGATGATGAGTTACAATATCAAGACATTGAGAACGAAGACAAAAATTCCTTATCTATTACATGCAAAGCATCAGATTCAAAGGTATACACGATAAAGGATGAACGATTAAATAAAATGATTTTAGAAACAGAGTCATATAACAGTTCCCTATTGGAACAAGATTTAGAATCACCTTGGCATGGGTGGAAAAAAGTTGTAACAAACAAAGATACATACTGGGTTGGTTGGTAAATAAATTACAATTTAATGTTGTACGTATTGAATCATTTGTATTTTATATATATACACACAACACGCGCGCGCGAGCACATACAGATTTTCTGCCAAAATAAGGTTGTTAATAAAGTGTTAAGTTATTTTTTCACTCATAGCTGTAATCTGTGCAATTATGATACTTTTGTAGAGCAAGTAGATTTAATCTTTTTGTTAAATTCATCCATATTCTAATCACTCTGATTACTTTCATTTTGTTTTTTGCTAAATGAATTATTAGTAAAAATGGAAACTAATATAAAAAATGCTAATTGTTAATTATACAAAACAGTGATTTACTTTTAACAAATGAATTTTGTTGTTATTTTATGGAGCAGAACAATATATTTTCTCTATAATCATAATTTATGTATACACATTCTACTCTATTGCATTGAAAATAAAGTTTACATAAGATTGAAATTAAGATTTGTTTTTATTCCTTAAAATACTTAAAAAGATACAGACCACGTAATATTAAATATAGAAAATCAATAACACAAAACATTAACAATAAATATCAAATAATTATGTGCAAATAAAATGAATACAGTGGAGAAAACTTCTTTAATTTTTGAATTATTAATTACATTCTATTTTAACGATATATACACTCATTATATTTTTTAATCTAGGACGCAAAGATTTTTGTGGCTCAGTTATATATATTTCCTGGACGCGTGCAATAATTAGAAGTATCTTTCTTAGTGTACTTTATAAAATAAGTATTTTTCACTGGCAAAAGTACATTAATTTCGTATGAATTAGAAATATTTGTGTATAAACATATACATAGTGTCTGTTCAAAGTGTAAAAATATTGTTTAACTACAGTAAATAATGCAGCAACATATTTTTGAGTATTTAAACATTAAGTACTGTACAATGCCTTTTTCTGAAAAACGTAATTTGTCTTTTAAAATAAAGATAGTTATATTATTGTAATAGAGCCACCTCTATAGGTAACACTGCCTTAAACATGTTTAGCATATTAAAATAAATATCTTCTATGCTATGTTAACATGATGTAACATAATACACGTATTAACATGAATGTAACATGGAACTATTATAGCACGATGCATGATTTTACATCGCTCAATTTGTTTGCCTATCTGTCATTTTTGTTCTGTGAGCGAGTCAAGTTCCTACCTAATGACGTGTAATCAATTCAACGGTATACATAGTGTTCTTTTTTTTAAATTAGATTCACGGAAGTCCAACGTTAATGTTCTTTTTCGTTTTTTTCTTTTTTTTTTTGTACACAATCCATTGTTTATATTTATTGGAACTCATCATCACTGCTCAGCAGCATTGTTTTCTCATTATAATTTTGAGAAATTGTAGCAACACGTTGATGAGAAGTGTGCCGTCTTTGTGGCGGTGGTATTGGCATATTCTGTGGATCATCTGGATCAAAACTGGATATCCGCATACCACGTTGTCCTTTGGGAGCTCCTGATTGTTACATTACATCACGTATTATCGCTGGCAATGCCATCACTAATGAATACATCGATCAGCCCGTGAACAGCGAAAAATCATGCTTATATTTTTGTTTTTCATTCAAAGCATTATTGGCTGCATCGATTATAGGCTATATACAGTTTTATACGTGATCTGATAAATTTTTATGCACAGCGTAATTTACAGCATTTTCTTTTTTATTTTTTCAACATTACTACAGAAATTATATGTTTATTTAAGAATTCATGCGTGTTATAAAAATACTGATTTGAATTTACTAGTTTTATGATAATTATTAAACGTATATATGTGAAGAAAAGTAAATGAAAGTATATATAGCTATCTTAGCATGCTATATTAAATATACATTTTCAGTATTTACATGCTAGATTTTGAGATACAAAAGCATTAAAAAATAATACTATATTTTTTTCAATAATTTCTGATCTATTGATAAAATAATACATAATTACAATACTGCCACAGAATAGTAGTCAATTATTATTTGTCTTTTGCATTTATTAGAAAGCAAAACCTTTTATAAAATTACACTGTACTCTAAGTGCTCTTGTGTAAAGTGCTTAATTTCTATATTGTACAGTAGATTTTGTTAATTGCAAAATTAATGAAAAATTAATTATGCTTATGTATATGTATACATGTATATATGTTGGTTTTAATATAAACCTTAAATCATTATTTGAGCAGAGAACATTATGCCCACCCATGAACTTGATTTGAATTTAAAACATCAAGTAAATTTGTAGTATTTGCTTTAATAAACTACAATATTATGAATTTTTCAATCTCCATTTAAAATTGTATAAGTGCCTTATCTCCAATTTCTTGAAATTAATAAACTGATGCCCCGGATTCTCAGAGTTTTTCATATGGCAAGTTGGTATTAACGTCTGGAAAATAGTAAAAAGAAAGTGCCTTCAAAGTATTTAATCCTAATGGGCACATAGTACTTGAACTTATGATAGAAATTACTTTTTTATTTTTCTAAGCTATTTCACTACACTTTTATTGCAAAAGATAAATATAAATGAATTTATACTGTTTTGTACTTCCAATAATTGGCAGTAAAGTATATTCAAAGATTAAAATACAGTAAAATAATAAATATTCATAGTCAAATCGCCAAAATCCACAGTTAAAGCAACATAATAATTGGACTGATATTCTTTTATTAGATTTAAATTGGAATAAAAAGTTTCCAGTAACTCTTGACCTTAAATATATGTTTTTTACACTTTATTTATTTGCATACTTAAGAAATATATGATTTAAATAATAGATACAAACAAACAATGAAATATGGATGATTTTAGTTCATCATTCACTACATCATGCTATGTGATAATGTATCAATCAAATGAAGAAGGTAATAACAAGAATAGATAATACAATATTTATCAAGAAAACGTTTTGACAAAAATAATTTGTACATACCAGAACTGTATTGCGTATATTGTTGATACTGTGGATGAAAATTGTGGATGGCATCAGTCATTATATCTTTTGGATTCATAGTTTCCTAAACATAAACAAAATGGAAATTGTTACTTTTTCATTGTTTAGTTTATTAAATTATTTAAAAATTGTTACATTATACCTTTAAACTGCTGCTAATGCTTTGCATTGTTACACTTCTTCCCCTTGAATCCGTAACACAACCAGCTGAATACACTTGGTAAGGAAATGCATAGCGTAAAGCTATAGCAGCAAATAACATTTCAATACAAATCAAAAAATTCTGATAACCAGCAGAAACTGTGCCTGCACTGGTTGATTGATCTAAACTTATAGGAGAAATTACATTTGCCTTTTCAAGAATTGCCAGTAACACTCCTAAAGAATAAGTTTTAGATTTATTTATATTTTTCACACATATACAGTATCTAAAGTAATCTTATATATTACCTTGCCAAAATGAGAGAAAAATAACACTTTTAACAGTACAAAATTTTAAAACAGGTTCAAATGGTGTTAACAGATCTCTTGTAGCAAAATAGAAGAGGAAAAGTCCATAGAGGGCAAGAGATACGCTGATATTATAAATTATAGTTATATAAATATAGCCTCCATCTGGGGACCAATCTCCATCTCTATAATGTCCAAATGCTTGTAAGAATATAATGACAAATGCCATTACAGGTTTTACTAAGCAAAACTGCAAAGTAGCTTGCTTGCAAAATCTAAGAAAACCAATTGTATATGTTTTTCCAACTAGACAGCATGTTCCATATAGGCAATTAGAACGAATAGGTTTGCCACGTATTTCAGACATAATATTTCCTTCACCACCCAGGTACTCGTAGCATAGAGACAAGAAGTTATATATAACAAATGCTTCATAACAGTCTCGTACAGTAAAGAAATAAACATAATAACTTTCACTGTTGAAAAATAGTAAAGACACCCAAGAATAAGTTGCATAGATTGGGACTATAAATAAAATTCTCACTATCCACCTTTGTTCCGCTGGATTAGTGTACCACCTTAAGTGTTGATATATCTACAAAGAAGAAAGAAATCAAAATAGTACTTCCTATTCTATTGATTGACATAAATATAACAAAAACTTGTTACAAAATACCTGTTGACATGTTAAGAATAATGCAACCCAAACAAATGCACCAGCAATACCTTGAGCAGCTCGTCTTTGCAAGAATATTGGAGCTACTTCCTCATTGGAAGTTGTAATGACAGTTGTAGATGTCATATTGTCAACCAGAGAGTTTACAATTGTAGATGGTTCCATTTCCACCGTACTACTTATATTTTAATCTGAGAAAAATTAGCGTTGCAAATAATAATAATAGTTTAGTGCAATTAAAGGGAGAAAAAGATAATTATAGACGTCAAAAGAGTTCATTTTAATCACAGTCACAAAAGGAAAAAGTAATAGGGGACGTCGTTTTCGTAACACAGAATAAACGTCAAAATTATGGCTCGCACGTTAAAAATCAATATGCACAACAATAACAACAGTACTCCATTCGTGCGCTAAATTTCGTCTCGTGGACGCACCCGTGTTCCATTCGTAGTTCCTTTGGAACGATTGTAGCGTACATGCAATCTCTTCCAGTTATCTCGTCGTACGTGTTCTCCTTTTTCTTGGTATTGTACATACGTGTTGACCTGTACGATCAAGCTTCTTGGTGTTTCCCCACTTTCGATTAATCAGCTACCGATGCAGCGGTTACTGATGGTCGTGACCTTCCAAAAGGCAACGTGAATAATCCACCGAATTTTCTTCCCTTCACTATATATTTTGCCAGTTTAAGTCACCGAGTTTCACCTTTACCCGACATTTTCTACCATTTCTTCTTGTTCTCCAACTGATGATAAACACATTCGGTCAAACAGCTTCGTAAAATATGCCAGTTGATAATAAAAATATAGCTGGTTTTGCCACTACACTATATATTCTTCTTTATTCCACCTGTAAATCTTCCCTTTGATTCTCTTTCTTTCACTCTTACAGACGATCTCTTTTTCCCTTCTCCTTTACGTTACATCCCCTCCATGCTTCTCTTTAATTATCGTTGTGAACGCATGCGCCTATCCATTGCTATGTTGTTACATTCTTAGTAATAAATCGTTTCACCAAGTGTACCATCTTTATCTTTTGTGTATATACCGTATTCTTTCGTGAAATTTCACTTAGATCATTAATAAACTGTTTATTAAAGTCGAGTTTAGCAAAATTCTTTCTGTTAAAATCTAAAGTGAATTTGTACATTTATACATATGAAGAACAGATATTAGGGAAAAACACTTCTATTCTTTTGACATCATCGGTAATTACAAAAGATTACAGGATTTAAAAAAATGTAATATTCATTCATTAATAATAGTAATAACTTTGACAATTGGTATGCAAGAAATTCGCAGGAATAATGTATCAGCATTCAAACAATAATGTCTTAATGTAGTTCTATTTTTTATAAGTCAGATTTATATATAATTCCACAAAGATGGCACTCGTATGTATTGAAGACAGTGATCCTTGGTAAGAATACTGAATGGTTTTTTATTTAATTTAAAAACATGAGCTTTTTCAAAATGTATTTTTCAATTTTACAGGTTCAGGGAATACGATGCCTGTGAGAAACTTTCCATGGAAATCATGGAACAACTTATAGCTCGCAATAAGCATCCAAAGTCTTCACAAATATATCTCACTTTATCTGCAAATATACGAATTCGTCTAAGACAGTACAATCATGAAGTTCAAGAACTTAAGAATAAAGTGGATAGTGCATTAAGATCTAAAACTATGTATCCTTTCATCATTTTATTTTATTTAGTTATCAAATTTACTCAAATAGAGATATTGCAAAGTAGAGATGTAAAATTGCAAGAGTTACAAGCATTTACAAATAATTTTGCATCTTCTCGTTCAAAATTATTAACATCAGAAACATCAGCCTTTGCAGATGGAGGTACAAACTCTTTGACAACTGATGATGATGATGATAAACCTTTAGATACACAAATATCTGTTGCTGATCTTATAACTAAAAAAGAAAGAGTTCTACAAGGTATAAATCTTGGTATTTATTGTTACCTTTACATGCTATAGTATATGATTTCCTTTTTTTCATAGAACAAGATAAAGGTTTGGAAGAGTTAAGTAAAGCTATTGCAAGGCAAAAAGAAATTGGTAAAACTATCAGTAATGAATTAAATCATCAGAATGGTAAATTATAATTAATTTCATTTAGTTTTTATAAGTTAAAAGATATAAAATTCACTTTTAAATTTTTCTATGTTTGTACAGAAATAATAGATGGTATATCCAACCATGGGGATACAATAGATGAAACATTAATTAACACAACACGTAACATACAAACAATTAGTTACAAAAATCAAATATGTGGCTACTGGATAGTAATAATTTTTCTTTTTATTTGTATTATCACAGTCCCCTATCTTTAATTGTATAATTTTTAACATAATTATTGTATGAGAACTGCAAGTATTTCTTTAAATGGAAACTAATGTTTTGTAAATATGTTTAAAAATTATGTTTACAAGTTATTGCATTTTACTTTTTTGATTATTTACTAATTTAAAAGCATTATTTGTATATATTATGAGTAAAAATTATATTGCCTTTGTAAACAATAATACAATGAAAATTAAAATAAATATTTAGATTTACATTTAACATGTGAAATTTTTTACCTTTGAAGTTATATAGTATTGCAATGAAAGTAAACTTTTTTATTAAGAAATAAAATTTCTTCTATTATTTATCATTGTACAAATTTTATATTTGACTGTTTAGTAAATTATTTTCATTAGCAGTATTTAACATACTACATTTTACATCCAGTTCCAAATTTTTCAAAAGCGCTTTTGGACTAGGATCTCTACCCCTAAACTTCCTGAAAACTTCACGTGCAGAGTAAGTACCACCTGTGGACAAAAATGTTTCACGATACCTACTGCCAAGTTCCTTTAACTGCTCTTTATTCTTATCAGGCACATCTTGGAAAGCACTGTACAAATCAGCTGCAATCATTCTTGACCAAATATTACTGAAAATAAGATTTTTATTTTTTATAATTTTCAAATTTGCCTGCATTTTTAACATTTATTAAATTTTACCTGTAGTAAGCTGCTGCCCAATCTCCACTAAATATTTCTTTAAAAGAACAAATATGACTATCTTTTTTATATGCTGGAAGTACAAAGTACTTATCCCATAAACGACCCATTATATTATTCCAAAAGTCCTTACTATAAATATCAGAAGAAATTATATGCACTATTATTTACAATATATTTAAAATATTCTTCTTATTCTTACCTAGAATATAATTCTAAATCAAAGTGTGATAAATAGAGTTCCTTGCATAAATAATAACCTGCTAAATGTATCTTTAAGTGCTTTAACTTTTCAATCATTTCTAAAGGTATCACTTCTCCTGTATCTTGATGACATGAAATTTCTTGCAAAAAAGATGGTTCATATAACCTAATAAAAAATAAAAATTTATGTGAATGTATGTATATTACAATATTTCAAACGAAAGTTGTAGGGTATAGAGGGCGACATATTGTTTTGTAATTTTTTTGATTTTCAATGACCTTGAAGAGCCCTGTAAAGGTCATATTTAAGTTTTTAAATGGAAACGTATATTTTTGATTATGTATTCTTGTAGCCGATATTGAGTCGTTTTGAAAACACTGCATACTTGTGGTTTTTGCGTAAATTATTATCGAAATATCAGCTTCCAAGTTTTACATGTCACCGGCATTAGCTCACATAAAGTAAATTATTTTCCCTTGCAGTTGACCTTCAGTGACCTTGAATGACGTTGAGCTTAGGTCATTATACTAGTCTTAAAACACTCTACTAGACGATACGTAAAAAAATATATCATTCCATTTAAAAAAACCAAGTAGACCTTCATTTGACCTTTATGCCTCCACCTATCGAAATACTATATACATCAAATTATATGTCCCTCGACACCAAGTAAGTTTAGTCTGATACTCAGGTGGCCTGTTTTAGGTACCTCACCTTGTATACACATAAGTCGTAAAGAGCAAAGAAATTTGAAACATACCAATTCTGAAGGAAATAATCGGAAATAAACATTGTATCCCATTCCATAAATGAAAATCCAGCAATATCTGCATATTCCACCGTTGTTAACGTGTGTTGCAACATATGTCCAAACTGAACAGCAAAAAAATTAACATATTAAAATAAATGCAGTCCTAAATACTATTTCGATGCTCGTAAAATTTACCTTTTGGAAGAGAGCTTGAAGATCTTTAAATGAAAGTAAAGAAGGATTCGCGCCAAGAGGTGGTGTAAAATTGAATATTAATGCAGCTAATGGTTTTGTACCACTTATTTTACTTCTGTTTTGTATTGGTATCATATATGCTAAATCATGTGTCAGTCGAAATTTTTCCTTACTTCTTGCATATAGATCTAAATAAAAGTGACTTATTGGATCTGTACTTGATCGTTTTAAGTCAAAAATATCAAAAAATCGAACATCTTTGTGCCAAATATCTGATTTCTTGCTTTCAATAATCTTTACATCAAATAACATTTCAATTAATTCAAACAAGCCGCATAATACTTTAGGTAGAGGAAAATAATTATTTATATCATCTTCCCTGTACCTGGCAATGATATTAGAATGATATATTGTACATGTATATACCCTTTTTTTACTATAAAGGTAAAGTTCACTCTATAATTACTTGTATACAGCACGTAGTCGTTGTCTGCCCCAATATGCTATATCCCAATGTTGAAGTGGACCCTGAAGTCCTCTTTCACTTGCAAATGCATAAATTTCTTTAATCTCATATTCTTGAGCAGGACGAGCTTTGATGGATGAAGTTAATTATTATGTACTGATTATTAATTGATACAAATACAATTACAAATTTTTTACCTGTGGCTAATAAGTTGTTAAATGTATGGTAAATATTTTCTACACTACCAGCCATTTTAGTTTCCATACTTAAGTCAGCAAATGTTTTGTATCCCAATAAATTAGCAGCTTGATTCCTTTGCTGCCTAATTCCTTCTAATGTTGTACTTGTTTCTACTGCTCTATCATGCAATACAGATGCCTTGGTAACATCTGCTTGCCAAACTTTCCATCTTAGAGCACGATCAGGGCAATATTCTAATTAATACATCACAAAAAGTTTAAAGAATGTATCCTTATTTTTATAACTATTATGCATTCATTCTCAATTTTCTTTTATACGTATTTTAATGTATTTTTATACCCATAAATAAGTGCATGACATCTGAATATAGAGTTACAATCCACGGACCAACATGAAAGCTAGAAGGATCTTGTGCCATAGATTTTAATAACTCTTTAGGAAAGTCTTCTACAATTTTAGGATCCCTTATTGTAAAAGTAAACATATTTGCAGCTACCTAAAAAAATAGCATTAATGCTAATATTCCTTTAATTTATTTACATATACAGACCTCTACTTTCTGCGAGTATTTGCTTAAATTACGAAATAACAATATATGCAAATCTGAAAATTGCAATTTCTTCTTTTCACTTAAATCCATTCCATTTAATTTTCCTTCCAATATAAATTTTGTTAAAACTCTTTTTTGCTCATCATTTAATTCACTTTCTTTGTTGTTCATAACATTTTTACATGCTTGATAAATTGGTGTACTGACAAATTTGGCAGCACAAGCTTTTCTACTACGATCATTAATACTTATGTAATATTGTGTAGGTATTAAACTCTGATTTCCAACATACAATGTTTTTGCAATGCCCCATGTGGTATTCAAAGATGTATATAATTCTTCTAAAGGATTTAATACATCCTTAAATAGAATTTTTGGACAAATATTCTCAACATCTGAGGAACAATTTTGCTGATTACAAGCATCTATAAGAAATTTCAACTTAAAGCAATGACAATAAATTAAAAAATTACTTTTTATTTGTTTCTCTAAGGTTTTAACTGCTTCTTCAAATTCTAAAGCTTGTCTTCCAATAGCAGCAACACATTTTTCTATTGTAATATTTGAAAATTCTGGACTTTTATCTTTTTTTAATAAAGGATATTTTCCTGGTAAATCGTCGCCGATTTCTGGAACACTATGAAAACAATTGTTAATATACCTTAGACATTAAAAACAACCTTATGCAATGTTTGCAAAAAATATTTAATATAAGAAATAAGATGTATAATTTTTATTTTGATTAACAGCGTTGTAATATACATACAGTATTAAAAAACCATTGCGTCTTGGGATTTTCAAGAAACTATTTTGTGACAAAAATATTCTTTTTCCGTAGAAAGAAGCCATTTCTATATTTTTTAAAAACATTTTACATTCATGGCTTTTCAAATTGCATTTTTAATCAAACACCGGTCCTTCGGTATTATATTATTTATTTCTCTATCGCCCCCTTTCACTTAACTAGCCACAATTCAGTCATGAATTGCGTGCGATTGAGTTCCGTGGACGTACTTCTATTTCTAGAATCCTAAGTCAATAGTTTGTAATTTAACTTGAATATGTGAATTTTTTTTAATTTGTATCATTATACGAAGAATCTTGTTTTTAAATATTAATAAGAAAAGAAAGAAATAAGTTAGACTGTAAAAATTGAATTTTTCATTATATAGTTATTAAATGTTAAATTTATGACGGTACATTTACGATGGCGCCACTATGAATGTCTTTAGAACTTAGAAAAAAGTTGTCGTCCAGAGATTCGAGACTACTCACTGTCTTAGTACGTGTTTTTTGAGATGATCACAATTGGGTGGAAAAAATTGCGTATGTTCTGACACGTAAATAAAGAAACGCTAGCTTCTTTAGATTGTAAAAGTATAATTTGATTAACTGTTTTCACGAAAAAATTGGCTGTTTTATCTCAACTACTATCACGAATTGACATCCGCAACAATGTCAGGAAAGTTACGAGGAAGTAGTGTCAAATGGGAGAGTTCGACAGAAGAAGATGACACGTACGAGACAAAATATAAAATGAAGTTGAGAGAATCGCTGAGGAACACGCAACAACCTGCTACAACTGAAAATATGGTCACAGAACCACGAAAGCGGGGTCGTGGCCCTTCTAAGAGGCCTTGTCTCAACAGAAACGCTTTAATGGCTCGAGAAAATAGGCTCAGGAAGAAAGCATATTTAGAAAAAATAGAAAACAAACTATTGTTTTACCAGCAAGAAAACAAAAATTTAGTGAACATTATAAGGAAACAGGGTGTTGACATCAAACGATTAAGTGGTGAAGTTGCTTATTTGAAGAGTGTATTGAATAATAACACCAGCATCACTGTTTTGCTGAAAACTATCAATGATGGTCTTCGTAAAATCAGTACACAGAAAAAGAATTCATTCCATCCACATTATGTTTCTGAATGTTCCAATGGATTGGGTACACAACATAAATGTACATGTTATACAAATCTGAAGGAGAATATATTAAACACTCAGAATACAAATATATTTATTACAAATGTCAATAGTGACCCATTGATAGAACATAGTACAACTGAGAATCAAAGCAGTGGCTCTTATGCTAATGCCAGAAGGCAATTCACTTGTAAGGATTCAAACATTGATAAAATATCTTCATCCTTTTTAGAATTAGATCACACTTATACTGTTTCCAAAACTCCTATAGTTGATATTAAGAATAATCTGCAGAATAAGGAAGCAACAAATACAATTACTTCAACTACCAGTTCAATATCAGAAAACAATTATATGGATAACACAAAAGAGTTAGATAATTTATTACCAATTACTCAAACAGATATATCTAATGTAGAGGAGAAAAAGGATGCCGATACCATTGGTATTGATTTTGATCAATTGTCCTCTTTCAACATGGATATATTTGAAGATCTTCCTAAATGTGATGAGATGATGAATACAGTAGATGGCTTAAATGATACATCCAACCTTTTTACGGAAGAAGAAATATCTCAAACATTAGATAACACTGGAATTTGTCTTCATGTTAATTCTGATAAAGTATCTTTAGAGTTTTGTTCCATTTGCCACTTAAATAGTAAAAACTCGGGATCAAATTGAAGGGGGAAACGATCGTAACTCTTGTAAGTCCACTCAATATTGAGTTACAGAAGAGGTCAACCAAAGATTTTGGAAGTATTTCTCGATCAGTGGAGTATAAAAGAATTAACGAAAGTAATATCCTATTTTAGCTTGTTTCTATGAATATTGTATTCAATGTGAGATTGTTTTATGTACAGTAGTAGATATCCTAATATTTTCAGGTATATCAAGAAGATATACATCAACATCTAGGTCTATCTGCTGCTGAAGCATCATAGAAATATTTTCCTCATGGAGCGAAAGTTGCGTTATTAGTATTTATATTATATGTATATACACGCAGACATATAAATACACATGAACATGCGCTTATATAGATACATGTGTGTACAAACATGTACACACATGCATACATATATGTACATAATGATACATACATATGCACATATGTATGTTTATTTTAAAAATAACAAATTTTTTATGTAGGTAAAGTCTCTAGAAATTGTAACTAATACATGTAGTAGTATAAAATACTTTTGTCACAGGCTGCATCATTACATAGTGGTATTTAACAACATAAAAACATTTTTTGTGAGAAGTGTTTATTATGTCTGATTGTAATAGCTAGGACATTGTAAAATTTGTCTGCCGTTTATGTGTAATGTTAAATCGTGTCACTTCTGTTCCTCTGAGACTGTAACTATTTGCTTTTTACAGGATAATACCATGTTGACATTGAAGTTTGCTAGCACCGGTCATGTGAAAAGGTGGGGGTTAATTTAATTTTACTAGCCAAAATGTAAATTTAGAGTTAATTAATGTAAATGTATACTGCATTCCTATTAGATAAATTATGTTAAAATTGTAACAATTACGATTTGTTTGTTCTATCTAGTTGAGATCTGGCATGCCTGACATGCTCTGTTTAACGCTTGGTGTTACATAGTATTTTGGAGCAATTACTATTAATTCTTATTGGAAAAATGTGTGGAATCACGATCGTCCCCCTTCTTTTGCATATTCAGTATATAATATAATAGAGAGGTTGAGTATGATTAATCTGACTTGTTTCTTATATGTGAAACAACATAAACATGCTACACAATGTAAAGGCTATTCCAAATTGTTCACATGTGCGTTTTGAATTTTCAATAATTTAATTTTCAGCTACATCCCGAGGATTTCCTGCCAATACGGAACATTCCATCCACTGATCGAGTATTATGGTAATTGAAATTAAAATTAAAAAATCAATATATCAAACATTTCTTTTTTAAATTACAAATTATTAGTAAAAGCGGTCTTGCAATGCCAGTTTTTACTTCATTTAATTATATGTAGTTTTCATAATGGAAAATCATATAAAATTATTACGAAAATAATCAAATATGATAGAATATTTGCTTTCAGTATTTATATTCGGAACAAGTACAAAATTTTTCAGTTTCTGGGGGAAAAGAAGTGTAACGATTTCACGTTATTGTTACAATATACTTCTGTTTCAAT